CACCCACACCCACACCCACACCCACACCCACACCCACACCCACACCCTCAATCACAATGACCAAAATACCCGTGGGCGGTCTGGATATAATGGGTAGGTAACAATGTCTTAAAACTGTCTACGATTGTAATCTAAAACAGCCTAAAAATACGTTTAGTACCAAATCATAACTTTTGAGAACGAGATTTTTCAATGACAAGAAACGAATGAGTTATGAACAATTCATAAACTGGATTGATAAATATCTGTAGGTGTTTATGAACTAAAGACACAATGTGTTTAGAAGGTTGCACAGATTGATTCCTATACTCAGCAGATTTCGTTAGAAAACTTTGTCTTGTAGCAGGAATATATCAATAATCTGCTATGATAAAAGCCAGATTGAGAGGTTTCTACCAAAACATATGATTATCTAATGGGATTCTCTGAAAATAGGAGTCAATCTGCGCAACCTTGTAAATATACCGTGCCTATAGTTATTGAACACTCATATATATCTACCAATTCAACTTAACAATTGTCCATAACCCTCTTATTTCTTGCTATTGATAAATCTTGTTTCCAAAAAGCAATGATTTGGCATAAAACTTATTTTTACATGATTTCGGATAGTGCCTATAAGTACTAAGCGATACACTTAAAACTTTTCTTGTAGAATCGATTTCTATTACATATGGAGCACCTGATGAAACAACACCTGTGGTATGCAGAGATGGTGTAACCGGAGGCACACAATCAGGAAGTGCTGGATGCGGGTCCTTCACTTTAGGCTCCGATGAAAAAATTATCAAAGTTATTGGCCGATATGGCACCGCGGTTGATGCATTACAATTCGTTACTAATAAAGGCAGAACAATTCCTGATCTCAAATGTGGCGGTACTGGTGGTGGCGACTTTATCGAAAAAAAAGATGGTTATTATCTGTCGTATATAAGTGGTACAACAGCAGAGCGTTTATATTCGATACAGTTCTATTGGGCTCCATTTCCAGGTAAGATACACAATTAAATAATACATGTATTGTAGTACTTCGTGAAAGAAAAGTAGAGGGTGTGGGTACTGATTATTTGGATATGTAATCACACTCTCTTAGTGTGTGTGTGGATTATTGAACATTTCATTGGTACCCACACCCACATCCTGATTATGCAATAAACTCTTCCTATGAAACCGTAGGATATTCTACATTTGAACGTAGAATAAAAAAATCTATGTCCGTAACTTGAAAGATAATAAAGCCTTATGCAACAATCATAACCTCTTTTAATATTTAGATATCCTTGACTTCATATATTCTAAGAGGGGTTATAACATAAGAATAAACCCCGTTAAGGACTTATGGCAACTTGTGCTTAGGAGGGTGTGAGTGTGGATGTGGGTGTTGATTATTTGGACAAGTTTCCACACTCTCAGCCACAAGTTCAGGAAGAGATATAAGATTAAAACAACATTATAATGACCTCTCTTAATGGTAATCAATATAAAGATTTTCTAAGAATAAGACAATCACTTTAAGTTTTATTTCCTCAAAAGAATAGAATACATAGAGATGCGTAATAGTTAGATAAGGTCTAAAACTAGAGAAGTTATGTCTTTTTTCTCTCGAATCTGAATAAGGTCAGCTAAGATATTCATATACGGTATATTCATGGATGACCCTATAAAATACTATGATTCAATCTGTCCTTACATGGTTACACTAAAAAATGTTTTCTTGTTGGTTTCAGTGAATAATAACACCCTAAAGGACGGAGATGAAACAGATGTCGATTGTGGTGGATCATCCGGCAACAAATGTGCTGTCGGCAAAACATGTAAAGTTAA